AAATAATAAAATAAAACCCACCACAGCAACCTTCATCTTAATCCTTCAAACACTCTTCTCAGGCATGAAAAAGGGCAGAGGACCAAGGAACATGATCCATTTGAATCATGTTTCTGGATGCCCTTTTAGAAAATGCTCAGATGTTTTTAAGTCAAGAATTTAATGTGTGGATACTTGTGCCAAAATTGGTGGTAGTGGTCATTGTTTTTAATGCATGCATTGTAGTAACTTCAGATAGTTGCATTCACAGCTGTTGTAGATGCAAGTACAGAAGTAGTCATGCATAAGCACACGCTCGTGTAATATTCAAAGAGACATAGTTTAAAAAGGATTTATCTCTTGGCAATTAGTTGTTGATTTCCAACAATAAGAAGGTGCCCTTGTACCTCGGTGCAGTTAGGTACAACAGTGATGGAATTAAGGTTAGTTGTCTTCTAGCAAAAATTTGCAATGTCTGAAAATAGTCTTTTTAAAATGAAAAATAAAACATGTTTGAGGATTTTCTGTGTAGCACAGTTCTGTCTCTCCATCTATTTGAAGGGGGAAATCTGTGTGCAAATTTTCTCCTGAACTGGCATAGACAGTTAGTTGTGTCCTTGATTCTGAGCTGGCACTCTTCTAGATGCATCTGATGCTTACATTCATTAAGGAAGATTTTCAGCAAACAGTTTTATATCCACATATTTTAGCAAGTTGAGATGTCACTGAAAACAAAGCGGTGAAGGACTTCCATATTCTCTGACACTGACCCAAATAAAGTGTGTTTAAATCTAGGAGCTTCAAACTAGCTCTGAATGATTAGTCTGACACTTCATGCTGCACCTCCTGTACTTTGGTAATTTATTTTCTTCAGAGGAAGCAAATGACTTCTTAGACTTTACTTACTGTACAAGAGAAACAACTTTGTGATCTTAAAGATTGTCTAAAAGCATGATTTATTTTTCTTTCCAAATATATATTTAAAGATCTCAGTGGAGAGCTTTGATTGTTCTTTATCAAGAAATGATGGATACCTTAAGCAGGGAATTCATGATGCTACTGGCTTTGATGCTGGTGAGTAGAAAATACCCTACTGGCTTCCAAAGCTGGTGGGTAAATAAATCAGGAGCACATTTAGACATGAGAAAATGGAATGAAGATGCATCAGGGGAAGTTCAGATTGGGCATTAGGAAAAGGTTCTTCACCAAGAAGGTGTTTGATCACGGAAATAGGCTTCCCTGGAAAGTTGTCACAGCACCAAGCCTGTCAGAGTTGAAGAAACATCTCGATGAAGCTCTTAGTCATCTGATTTAGTTATAGGTAGTCCTGTGAGGAGCAGTGAGTTGGACTCAATGATCCTCATGGGTCCCTTCCAACTTGAGATATTCTATGATTTAAGACTGCAGAGTTTTTGATTGATTGAACTAGGACTGTACATTTTAAAACATTTTATAGTTCATGTATCATGGTAGGTTGCAGATTTTCAGTCTTCAATTAAACACACTTTATGTGGAGGATAGTCTTGGAAAATTAGAGAAAGTAGCAAATTGTTTTCCCCAGAAGAAAAAATTAAGAAAATATACATGAGTGAAACAAGGGATGTTTCTTTTATCTTTTATAGGATAATATGATCCCTCCCTATATGTCCAGGAAAAATAATTTTTATTTCTTTTGGGGGGTAGTTTGCACACTGATACGTGGAAACTAGTAATTACATAGTCTGTTTCTTTGGCCACCTAGTCTGCTCCCCAGCCCCTTGCCACTCTGATCTGGAGGATGAGAAAAAGGATCTCATTGATGAAGAACAGTTGAGGAAGAATTCCCTTTAGATTTTTTTCCCAGTGTATTTTAATAAATAAATGTGAGATCTAAAAGTATTGGCATCTACTGCCTGAGCTAAAAGACAAATAATGTCTGCATGATGTCTACCTGAGGTGTGTGACAGGAGGAAGAATCGTCACACTCTGAGCTTGATTTATTCTTCTTGTTTGATGAAGAGAATGAGTGAATGTCCAGGATGCCCATCAGCTGCATGATGAAGAATCATTTATATTAAAAGAGATTTAACTGAAAGTATACAGCAACAAATATTTACTTACTTAGGTAGCACATTCCTGCTGTATTTAAGAGTTTTCTCAAAGGAGAATATCCAGAGCTGTGTGCAAAGAACCATGAAATTCTTTTTTTTATGTAAACTGTTAGTCAACTCTTAATTTTAAATGCCCTGTTTAGTCCCAAACAGTTTAAAAAATATACTTAGTTTGTGTCTTACTTCTAAAAAATAATTTCATAAGGGTTCCTAGCCTCAGGGAAAGACTGTGGATAAATTCAATGGTTTTATACAATTCCCGTAAAGTCAGTTGCCTTGTGAATCTTGCAGGAACCATTTGAACATCTTATATATGTAAAGTTTGAAAATAAAGTACTGTGAGAACATGATTGAGTGTTCTAGGTAGGATGAAACTTGACTTCAATGATTTTTGTTTCACAAAAGACAGATTTCTCATCCTTACTCCTCCAAAAAGGAAAAAAACCTTTTTGTATTTTTTTTATTGATGAGTTATTTTTAGGGAGCAGCATTTCCCCTTTGTTACACAGAAATTCTTCTAGATGACTCAAGGTTTGTGTTGAGGTATGTGTGCATGCAGGCTTTTAAAATAACTACAGTGTTTAAAGGGAGTGTGAAAAGTCGTACTCCTATTGGAAAGTCAGGGTTCTAGTCACTAATGTTTAGAACGTGTTATTTGTTTCTCAATGCATGAAAAATCTGCACCAAGAGAGTATTTCTAATCATAAGTCATATAATGTTGATTACTTAAACACAGTGCCTAATTCACCCATTAGATGGCCCTTGAGATGGTTCTGATGGAAAATAAGTATGAAGCATAGGTTCAGGTTCTCGTGGGTTTGCTGCAAGTGACAGTTTGGTGGCTGCTTGCCAAGGGGTAACAGGACCTTTGGGAGCTCAGCTAGCCCACCTTCTTGTCCCAGGGCAGCAACAGCTGTCTCTGCATCTTTCCAAAAACTACTGTATCTGTCCGTATCAATTTTGGCCGGGACCACTTGTGCAGTATGTCAGTAATCCACATAATCTTAGTAACTGTCAGCTTTTTAGTTTAAATTTCTATTGGTAATCAATTTACATTTAGTGCTCCACTTCCACCATGCTGCAAACTCTTTCTTCCAATAAACTTTATTGAAAGTATTAACATACTTTATGCTCACAGTTAGTGCCTGTTTAGTGGATGCAAATGCCTAATGGTGGATTTTAATATCCCAACAACAAAAGTCAGTTGTATGATTCCCCATATAAATAGAGGACAGTAAAATAGTTTTCTGTAGATAATCTGTTTGGAAATAAATGATTAATTGCCATAAATACATCCAAAAGTAAGTTGCTTGATTTTTCTCCCATTTTTTCCCCTCTAAATTAAAATATCTGCTAAACTCTACTGTATTCTGTAGGTTTTTAAGATATTTGTCCCTATAAGTTTTGCATTAACGTTGCCAATTTGGTATGAAAGTAAGGAAACTCATTATTTTTATAGTCACTTGGAAAATTTCCAGCTCAAAGAGTTTTTTAATATATTTATCTCTACATGATAGGAATTCAGTATTTTGAATAAGTTAGACTGTTTCTGACTCATGATATAGAAAATCTCATGAGAGTGAAGCAAATGGCTAGGGTTAAACCACACACCCAATTCCTATTAAGCTGGTTGAAAAAGGGGTAGGGAAATACTGTGCTTGCATTCTCCAGTCTAAAGACTACATTTTTAAAGGCATGATAACTGAATAGAGGTGTTTACTTAGCTGAGTTCTGTTTTGTTGAGAAGATGATGGTCTCATTTGTTTAGCAAGGGGTTAAACAGAAACTAATCCTTTAGGCTTACTTTGAAAGGTGGTTATCTTTCTAGCAAGAGAAAGCATTGTTTGCTTTGCCAGAAACAGTGTAATTGTTCCTTAAACCATCATGCTCTCTAAATAGATAAACTTCTTAGAAAGAGGAAGAATATAATTGGCATAAGCAACGTCTTTAGAAGATTCCAAAAACTAATAAAAATGCTTTCATTTATATCTAACAAACATAGGCATTTTGTGTGATGTAGGCTGTATTACAGCTTTTTGTGAAGAGATTATTTTTTGTGTGTGACAACTGCTTTAATATAGAAGTATCATAAGTTATGGGAAGCAGAACAGTAGTATGGTTGGCTCAAGTTAATTACATTTATTCAGATGAAATGCTGTTCTACTGTACTCTTCAGGACAAGCAGAGAAAATACTGAAACCTTTTTTAGCCAGTATTTATCTATTTCAATTCTTTTTGACAGTTTGTGTTGCATGTGTGCTTTAGCTACAGTGCTTTTATATCGACAGTTGGTAGCACAAGCCTTTTAAAGCACAAAGGGTAGCAGTACTTCAGCCAATCTGTGATAAAAGGGAAAAAATGAAATCACTATGGAAACTGCAGGAAGAATCTAAAAGCTTTCTTTATAAAGTAAACGTCTGATGTTTGTGACTGCGGGGGCAAAAAATTCATAAATCTGTACGATGCTATCATCTCTGATTTGTTATCGCAGCAAATGCCAAGTCTAAGCAGTCTGACCTTAGCCTTATTAAGTGCTTTCTTTTCAGATACAGTTATTATTTGACAATAGAGAGACTGCAGTGCTACGAGGGGGAAAACTAATATGTTTAAAATGTGTGTGTGTCTGTGTGTCTGTGTGTGTCTGTGTATGTGTATATATATAACTATCCATCTTTTTTACCCCGTGAAGCTTATAGAGTTGGGAGGGCTGAATGTGGGAACTCAGGGACTACTATTCTGAGCACAATTGAGAAAACTGTGTTTCGTCCCATTGCATGCACTTGTCTTTGATCTCAAATTGAAAATCTCTGAGCCTCTTCCTCCAATCCAAAAGCAAATAAATACTGAGAGAAAAAACCTCTCTCCTCTCAGCACATAGGGCCTTTAATATTGAAAAATGAAGGTGGGTGTAAGAGCTCTGATGAACCTGTTTGGACAACAGACAGCAAAAAAATACCTGTCTCGGTGGAGGAGTTTAAGAGCACTGCAGAGATCATCAGACAGTGCAGAATATCTTGGCTCACACAGGCCATTCTCTTTATCTCAAAACAATACCAGCCAAGCTCCTCTGTACCTAAAACTGAAGAGCTGCAGGAGCAGGAGGACAGTAACTAATACAGCTTTTAAATTTGAATCTCCTTGTTTTTACTAAGAAAAAAAAAAGAAAAAAGAAAAAAGATACATGAATTCAAAGCAAGATAAGATATCTGGTAAGTATTTTTATTCCATTTGTTTTCTTTAGATGGAAGATTTTTCTTTTAGTCATATGTATCTGCTGTAAACAGTATTAGGGCTTGATTGTGAGTTTTTTGTGAAGTTTTTTAATTATGGAAAAATTTCATGCCTATTTTTGCATTTACAACTTTGATAGCTTTTGGATTTCTTTTTTTTGTTGTTGTGCTGTAATTAGTGTGCAAGCTTTACAAGTTTGATGTTTCAAGATGTTCTAAAGAGCACTGTTGTTCCCAGGCTCTTGGAATATAAATATACCCATTGGTAATATATATTGTTGTATTTTATAGATATACACACAATAACAGGTTTTAGTATTTGTTTTAGTATGGTAGTTTTAAAATATACTGATAATGACTGAAGCCAGGCAAGTACTTTCCAACTGTTTCAAGCTCTCTAAACAGTGTGAATATTTTAACTCTTGTTCAGTAAGTTTATATATGAAAATTTAATCTATGACAGATGACAGTATAAAGTTATTTGTCTATAAATGTAAGAAGCCAGAAGAATTCTTGATTATATTCTGATGTCATAGTACATTGGTGAATGCTACTATAGTGTGTGCTTATACTATGAACAGAAAGATTTCAGGTTAACAGTAGAAAAACACAGACAATACAATTCTGTCTAAAGCAGGTCAGTCTTTCAGTAATAAATATAAATCTAAAAAAAGATGTATTTTGACTTATTGGCTTCATTGCATCTTTTTATGCGTACAATGAAAACCAATTATCTGGGGGGGGAAATTTGACTTTGTGGAATGTAATTAAATTGCTTTTTAAGGCTTCCTTAAGCAGCACTAGCTGGAGGGAAGTCCAATAACGTTTTTAGCTCTGAATTGTAATGACTTTGCTACATTAATAAATCAGGTTGTGTTCTGACTTTTATCAAAAGATTCCAAGGAAGAAAACTATCCACAGCAGGTTGAAGCTACAGGGGCAGTCCTGAATTGTTTTTCTCCATCAAGCTACTTTACTTCAAAAAGTGGACCTTCAAAAACAGCAATTCCCATGGATCGGTACTTAAAAGGGTAGGTCCAAATCCATCAAAGATGATTAAAACAATTGATAAATATTAATTCCTGCTACGAAGTGATTTGTCAAACTGGAATATCTGTAATGTAATCTGGTTATTTAAATCAGTGTTCTTAAGGAAGCAAGGGGAAAAATTCTGTTCATGCTCATCACATTTGGGGTGGTGCTGGTGTTGTTTTGTGGGTTTGGGATATGTTTTGTGGGTTTTTTGTTTCTTTTTTTATAAAGAAAATATCTTGTTCTATTTATTCTGTTTATCTCTCATCTTAATATGGAACTGGGTACAAGATTGGTCTAAAAAGTAAACTTTTTCAAAAGAGATGGTTTAATTCACTCTACAATGTGCCTATATGTCCTGTTGCTGCAATTCATGTAGTTAGCTAGGCAAGCGTTTGGGCTCAATGTTGAATGGAGTGAGGTTTTATAAAGTATGTATTTGGGACTCAGAATCTGGAACTTTACGAAAAGAAAAGCATTTGTTTGAACAGTGTTTTGGTCTGTTGATATTAGCTCTACAGTAATCGGGGAGGAAAAAAAAGATACTGCCATCTACTCATTTTTCCCAACAGAACACATATCAAAAGTGTAATCTGTAGGAGGAACGTGAACTGGTGAAATGTACCTCTGATGTTGGTTTCCTATGCTTTTATGCAGAATGTTTGTAATCATCTTGCTGAGTCGTAATCCCTGACATTTGCTTTCACAAAGCATCTTGGGGAGAATGCAATACCCTAATTATGTTTCTGTGAAAGAGCTGAGAGGAAAAAAAGTTGTACTCTTTAGCACAGCATTTTAATAATATACATACAAAATTTTGGGGAAGACTAAGGATACTTAATCAACTGTAATTCCAGGTTGTTTTATATTGCAGTGTACAAATATAGTTGAACATATGTTAATTGTAAGTTCTTTTCTGAACTGTGTGCTGTACTTGCCCACATCCAAAGCAAAACAGGCACTGTCTCCAGTCTAAATATTTTTATATCTTTATGTTTTCTCTCTTACATTTTCCAGTATTTTCTGAGATAAATGAAATCTAGTTACCACATTTTAAATAAACTATCATGGTTAAAAAAAAGTTAAAAAATCAGTGCTTTCTCATATGATGTTTTACAGTAGCTTTTATATTAAGAAAAAGAAGATCAAGAATAACAATGAGTTAAATTTGAATTGCAGCTCATGAAGATCACCTCATGTTATATTCTTTTATATAGGGAACTAGCCATAAACAATGTGAAGTTGTAAAACTGACTTTTGATCTTGGGGGAGCTCACTTTTTATAGATAGGTTTGTCCACAAACTGAGGCAAAAGGTTAATTGAGGTTGCATATTTGAATACATTATGTGCATTTCACCTCTATTAGACAGTTAGAATAATTTCTAAATACAAAGGTATTTACTACAGAACCATTAAAATGGAATCTCCAAAGGAAAATGGATATGTGATACTGGTATGCGGCTTTGTTCACAAAGTGGGGCTGTGTGGGTTAGCTGAAAGAAGTGACTCCAGCAGTCTGTTCTCAAGCAAATTTCTCAGACGCAGGATTGTTATACAAGACATACCTGGCTTTCTTTTTGCTCTCCTTTTGGGAAATCCATTAAACTGTTCAAATATCCTATGGTACATGAGATTACTTGTCCAATGTTGTGCCCATAATGCCTGCTTCTAATAGATGAGCAGTACAATAAAAAAAAAAAAAAGGAAAAATGCCTTGCTTTTCCTCCCCCTTAAGGAGCCTGCTTTTCCATTCTCCTTTGTGCTTGTGTGGGCTTTGTTGTTTAAAAAAAAAAAAAAGAGAGAAAAAAATAGTGGCAATTAGTGCCAGTCAGTGTAAACAAACATCACCCTTTACATAAATCCCATAAATATGTACTTTATAGCAAGACATCTGTTACTAGTGACTTGGCTGGAAAGAGTGGCCATTGTCCCACTCAAAGGTGACCTCCAGAGATTGTGAAAGCCATTGGGCAGAATACTTCTCTCCAGTCTTGCCTCAAAACCTGAAAAAAGTTGTTTCCCTCATGGATGCAGCCTGGGGGTTGCTTCAATAAAAGCAGAGAGGGTTTCTGAGGAGGAGGAGCAGGTCACGCCTTCATAGCAAGTGCCAACTTCTCAAACTTCCCAAGAAGTGCCCAGCTCTGACATGGGCTCCTTTCAGAAAGTTTTCCTTCTCATCCTCCCATAAAGTGGTATTTACTAATGCTGTGTCATTTTTGAATGGTGTGCAAATTCATATAGATACCAAGCTCGCAGCAGATGAGGACGTACCAGGATAACATGGCACTGGAAGACACGTGGGATCCTTGATTCAAGGAGAAATATCCCAAGGTTATTACACTTAGCAAGGCCTAACCAGAGATTTAAATCAAATATGACCACGAGCTTGTCACATGGACCTTGGTGGGGCTTCAGACCAGGCTTTCCATGGGAGAGTTATTGGTACTCTCCATTTTTCAGCAGTATGTGCATGCTGGTAGGGTAGACGTTCTCAAGCAGTAATGTGTACTCCAAAGTCTTTTGTTATTACAGCTTCATGACCACATTCTCACCTGCAAGGGCTGGCACAGCTTTTTCGTGCTGTACACTAGCAGCAGAGGACCTTCCTGGCATATATTTTCCCATCAATCTTTAATTCCATTCACTGGCAATACTTTGTTACCAATTTGCTCAAATAGAAGGGAAACTGGTGCACAGTGCTTCAGAATTATAATAAATTAATCTTTTTATCTAAGAACACTGTTAATTTGTAAACATACTTATAATTGAAAGCTTTTTTCCCCTACCTAACGCCAGGCATTTACATAAACTGATGAGTCAAACGTTAAAGACTGATATTACAGTTGATATGAAAGAGATACTTTGGAATTAAACAGCAATGAAGTTTCTGAATGTAAAGTCCTGGTTCTTTAAAATGCCTTTGGTAGTCTAGAGGTATTCTGCCACACAGGGTGTGTTACACTGAGTAGCACTGATTTGCTTTCCTGTTTGTCTGCTTGTTTCCTCGCTGCACTGGAAGAATTTTGAAAGGCACTGGATGCCTGGCACTTTTGTAGGAATGTACTTACATTCCCATACATACAGAAAAGATTGCTTTGAAATGCTCTAAAGTGACAGTTGTCAACTTTCAAATTAAATCACATGTAGTTTCTTTAGCGTATCAGTTGAAAGTTGCTGATAAAATGATTGTTTATTTGTAATGCGTGAGGAGGCTTCTCTGAGTTGATAGGGTCTGCCACATTAAAATACTGGTTTTGACATCATGTCTGTAGTTTGCACTTGTGTTAGCAGTCTCAATTCTTTTTTTTTTAACTGTGCTTTTTATAAATCTGATTTTATTGCCATGTGAAAATTTTGCTGGTAATCTTCAACATTTACGCCTTAAAATTACCTTAAAACAATACAACCCACACACCTTAAGGCAAGTATACCCATGCATATACATATCCTACTGCAGCCTGCTTGAAATGAAGTCAAGACTGACTTAGACAGAAGAAGGGAAAGAAGAAGGGAAAAAAGTGTTTTAAAGCTGAAGTCTACACCTGAGCTGAACTTATATAATAGTTATACAGAATGCAGAGTCATTAGCTTTTCATATAATAATGCTAGACTTCCTAAAAGTCAAGCACAGAGTGTAAATGTCAGGATATTTTGTCTAACAGCTTCATTGACTCTGTCTTTGCAAATAAATACTTAAGCTCTGTGTCATATAAAATTAAGAAAAACCCACAACTTTTTGTGCAAGTAAAATCTTTGTATCAAAATATAAAACTGCTATAAGACTGAAATGAGTATCTCTCCTTCTTATGCCAACTAACCAGCCAAATATGTAGTTGCTCTAGCACAGTTTTCTGCTGGAGATGCTGCCTTCGTTTTCCGTCAATGCTTAAAACTGATGTCTGGTGGAAAAACTGCTGAAGCCTTTGCACTAAACTTCTCTGTGTCTTAATACCTAGAATATTTGAGCAAAGATACATGTTATCTATTCAAACTGTTTTATTTCCCTATGAATTATGAGAATTCAGAGGAAGGCAGAGCAGGAATTATTTCCCTTTCAGGATTAAAATCCTGTTTTACTGCTGAAGTGTGCTATTGCTGTGTTGTCCAACACCAGACTAGACAAGATTTCAAAATGAAAGTCAATACTCCTAAATTTGCATAGGATTACTGCCTATGTACGTGAAACATTTTTCTTAATAAAACCAGAACAATTTACTGATTTTTTTTTTCCCTTCCCTTTCCCTCCCTCTCCAGGGCAAAAGGAGATCTTTGTAAAAAGTGAAGCGCTAGTAAATAAAGAGTTAAATTGAAGGCAGGCTCACTGGTTTGTTGAGATCTGTCAGAGTCTGAGTGGCTGGCTACATATCTGTCTCAGGAACAATAGCTACCTGTATTCTGCACGGGCTGCTGGGCAGGCACTAGCAGTCTGGAGAAGGTCTGCCTCTGTTAGAGGCTTTTTAGTGGGAATCCCTAATGACAGCCCTACTTCTCATTGGGAGGGGGTAGAGAAATCTTGTCTACTCTGTTGATGAGGGACAGAGCTTTGATCATTTTCATTCAGCCTTGACTTGGCCTGAGGTTTAGGATCCCAGTTGTGAAGTCAGCAGGCTCTCTTTTCTCACATACACACACACTCGCACACTCACACAGACCCCTTCGCTGGTCTGTGCAGGCAGATTAGTGTCACGGCTGTAACTGAGGCACAGAGCAATAAACATAGCAGAACCAATCTCCATGGTGGCAAGAGGGGGCAGTGGAGGTGACAACAATGGAGAAGGATCTTTCTTCTGACAAGTTTTAGGTAAGAGAGAATATTTATACCCTCCGCCAACTATTTTATAGCCTTCTAAATAAGTTAGAATTTGTTAGATTGCACATGTGCCTTGTTATAGAAATATTCTAGTTTACTGCCGTATCCAGGGTGTTACTAGCGTTTAACCTGTAATTGCCGTGCTTTGTGTTATGAGAATGTTTGCAGAAAGCAGGCAGGCTTTTTTT